AAATATAAAAAATTTACTTACAGGCTGTGAGTCAGAAGCGCCAGACTGTCCTTGCAAAGTTGGAATTGCCCCACTTTATAGAAACAGCCTTTGAGCACAGAAGCATTGTTGGCTACTCTGCAGGTTCAGGATCTGAATAGTTGGGTTGAACTGTTCTGGAACAGTGTTGTAAATACAACTTAACCACTGATTTCTAGTCGTGTCCTCTTTTGGAAGGCCAAACAAAGTAGTTTCGCTTTCACAACGAAACACACAGCTTCTTCACGACATGGCGGCCGCGGCAACAACAATACTACAGCGAGAATAAAAGTTATGCCTTCTTTCTTTGAAGACTTTGAGACTTTAGTCTTTGCAACTTTACAGATCTTCTTTATGCACCAAGAGCTTGTAACACTCCAAAGAGAAAGGAAAAATTGAAATCGCATCATATGACCCCTTTAAATGCTCTAGAGTGAAGATAAACATGGCGGATTGTGTGCGGCTCACTCAGGTCGGGTCTCTGCTAATACAGCGGTGTCAGTCAGTGGCTATGGGCGGGCCTGAGCAATGTGACGTCACATTTTATTAGTTTTAAAATGGTGCGTTCGTGTGTATATCTGGGATGCTTCAACATAGCTAAAGTCGCATTCGTCACTTCTCACCGGAGCTTACGCTACACCTATGCCCTATGTCATCCGCTAGAACACCACTCTCTCGAATGCGCGTAAGACAGTTAGCATAAGCTAGAGATTGTTTTATTAAATTTTAAATATGGATATTTTGCTTACAAAAACACAATATTTCACTTCAGTAGGCCTTTATTAACCCCCTGGAGCCGTGTGGAGTACTTTATGATGGATGGATGAACTTTTTTGGGCTTCAAAATTTAGACACCCATTCACTGCCTTTATAAAGCTTGGAAGAGCCAGAAAATTTTTTTTTAATATAATTCCGATTGTATTCATCTGAAAGAAGAAAGTCATATACACCTAGGATGGCATGAGGGTGAGTAAATCATGGGGTAATTTTCAATTTTGGGTGAACTATCCCTTTAATAGGAATGTTAACAAAATGTCCTTAGAATATATTTTTGTTAACTGGGTTTTGCTCAAACATTACAAGGTTAAAACATTAAAAAAAAAATGAAACGCGCACAGATAAATTGTTCACAATAAGACCAATAGCATGCATTTAGAAAATAGATTAGGCCTATATGAATTTTAATTTAATGATGATTCTAAACTACTTTCCCGTCTTGGTTAAATCGCCACATGTTGTTGGAAAAGGGAAAAACCTGACATTTGAAGCATAACTCACATTTTCATGGAAACTTGGAAGGCCGTGGGTGTGAGTAAGATTTTAAGCATATAAGAGCAGTAGATGAGGGCAGCGCTGCAGCTGAAGGGCCCACGGTAAACTTCTCCATCACCACAGGCCCTGTTCTGGCAGGGGACTGTGACTTTGAAATCGAACAGGCCCGCAGGATGGATCAGTGTGTCTGCTCAACATAAGTCAGTGTGAAAAGTCCGATGTTATGACAGCCAACGAGGAGACCACAGGCCCCTATGGGACTAACGCCTGCTGTGGACTCAAACGTTATAAACCAGTAGAGGAACAGATTTCACTTCTTCTCAGAGACGCTTGAAGATGACGTGTCCAGTTTTTCTGATGTAAAAACACTTCCTCCTATCCCAGGTTAATATGCAGAGACAACTAAAAGTAAACCATTTGTCGGCTGATTCAACACTGTGAGACAGACTGTTTGAGCTTCCCGACAAAGCAACGTCTGATCAATCATTGGCATGAGTTCGGAGCATCATTAAACTAAATTGAATCGACATTGAACTAAATCGAGCTGAATAATGACACTATTGTCTTTTGTACACAATGCAGTTCCTTAAATTTCCTCCTTATGAGAAATAAAACTAGACAGAAATGACTCTGTGTTGTCATACAGTAAGAGTATGGAACTATAAAATCAGCTCAGATCATTTAATCTTGGACAAATTTGATTCATATTGAGTTTGTATTGAGATCTTTGACTTTGGAACCAGGAACGTCTAAGGAGTCTCCAGCAAAGATTTCCTGTTTCTTTCATTATTTTCACTGCTGTCTGGGAGATATTAAAGGGGTCATATGACTTTGCTAAAAAGAACATTATTTGGTGTATTTGGTGTAATGCAATGTGTTTATGCGGTTTAAGGTTAAAAAAACACATTATTTTCCACATAATGTACATTATTGTTGCTGCTCTATGCCCCGCCTTTCTGAAACGCGTTGATTTTTAAAAAGCTCATTC